GCGCCAGCGAGCGAACCGGCCAACCTCTCGCGTCCGCGTCTTTGCAAGGCTTCCCTCATCTTCTCCCCTCGGGCGCACGGGCTTGCGCTTAAAGTCTCAGGAATCATGGCTTTCGTGTGTAGATATGCTGGGAGGGAATTCCTGGCCAGAGAACACTGCTCGTCCAGAGCGGGTGGGGAGGCTGGGAGACTGGCCCGAGGGGTTTTTTGTGGGGCGGGAGGAGGGTCCTTCCACTGAACCCAGAAGCCTCTTCTCAAGGTTCCCTATGTATATATGTTAATCCCAGACTCCTAATCTCCCACCCATCCCCTTTGGTAACCTTAAGTTTGTGAGTCTATTTCTGTTTCATAAACAAGTTCATTTCTATCATTTTTTTTTCTTTTTTCGGTACGTGAGCCTCTCACAGTTGTGGCCTCTCCCGCCGCGGAGCAGAGGCTCCGGACGCGCAGGCTCAGCGGCCACGGCTCACGGGCCCAGCCGCTCCGCGGCACCTGGGATCCTCCCGGACCGGGGCACAGACCCGTGTCCCCTGCATCGGCAGGCGGACTCTCAACCACTGCGCCACCAGAGAAGCCCCAAAAGAATGTTTAACTCCCTTCGCGTCTGGTTCCTGTAATCCGGGCACCACTAGGTTATTTTTCAGTATTTTCCGTTCCTTTCCTGTTGAAGGTGGCAGAGCAGGTACAGTCTCTGTGGATGTCCCGAGATTTGTGGCTTCCTTCGCCCCCACTGTGGATGCTCTGGGGTCCACTGAGCCCAGTGAAGACGGTATTAAGGTGCACAGACACTGCGGTTTGGAAAAAGCTTGAATTTCTTTAATTTTCAGGGAACAAACGCTTGGGGTAGTTTTAAATTAGATTTCCCTGTTCCTGATCCTTCCATCCTTTGACCTGGTCTTTTTCATCCCCATCAGCGCTCTTCTAAACATCCGAACAGAACTTTCAATGATGAAACCAGGTAGCAGGTTGTCAACGTGCTCCGCTGACCACAGGACCAGGCCAGGGACCCCTCTCCCTTTCCCTTCACAACCAACACCCTGGAAAGAATCAGCCACAAACCTACCAGATATTCCGGGGCAAGAGAACGCTGCCCCAGCTCATTTAATTTTCTTTAATATGCCTCAGTCTCTACATCTAAAAAATAAAGTTAACCTAGAAAAATCTCTACTACCCCTTCCAGCTCTATAATCGCATGATTCTGAAGTGTATTCCCCACCCTCAGCTCAGCCTCATGTCCTGACACCTTCATGCTCTTCCAACTGCTTCCCTGGTGAGTTCAGTCTGGGAAGCTTTTGCAGGTTTGTTCGATAAGTAAATTCGTCCCGCACACAGACGGAAGTCACATCGCACGCCCTGGCTCCAGAAAGCCGCAATCACAGTCTCTGGATGCCAAGGACCAAAAGGCAAAAGTTCCCCTTGGAAAAGAACGCACAATCCTTTTTGATCAGACAGGCAGGACTGGCCCATTGTTCTGTACCTTTTTAATAGCTCACCCACTTCTTTTTCTCTCAGATTCAAAAAAAGCTCATCTCGTAACTTAAATTTTGAATATATTACAATGGGAGGCAAGTCAACACACACAAAGACGAGCGGGGGCAGAACTCAGGGGACTCGGCAGATCACAGGGGAACCTTCTGATACGCTTCACAGCGAAAAGCTCTTTGCTAACGCTCTGCACCTGGCCCCAGGCTGGGAGGAGGGTGGCCACAGCCATCAGCCAAAACAGGATAAAATTCTGAGCCGGTTGTTTGTTCTTTTGTTACTGAGCTGCATGAGCTGCCTGTCAATTTTGGAGATTAATCCTTTGTCAGTTACTTCATTTGCAAATATTTTCTCCCATTCTGAGGGTTGTCTTTTCATCTTGTTTATGGTTTCCTTTGCTGTGCAAAAGCTTTGAAGCTTCATTAGGTCCCATTTGTTTATTTTTGTTTTTATTTCCATTTCTCTAGGAGGTGGGTCAGAAAGAATCTTGCTGTGATGTATGTCATAGAGTGTTCTGCCTATGTTTTCCTCTAAGAGTTTGATAGTGTCTGGCCTTATATTTAGGTCTTTAATCCATTCTGAGCTTATTTTTGTGTGTGGTGTTAGGGAGTGTTCTAATCTGATACTTTTACATGTACCTGTCCAGTTTTCCCAGCACCACTTATTGAAGAGGCTGTCTTTTCTCCACTGTATATTCTTGTCTCCTTTATCAAAGATAAGGTGACCACATGTGTGTGGGTTTATCTTTGGGCTTTCTATCCTGGTTCCATTGATCTATATTTCTGTTTTTGTGCCAGTACCATACTGTCTTGATTACTGTAGCTTTGTAGTAGAGTCTGAAGTCAATGGGCAGAAGACCTAAATAGACATTTCTCCAAAGAAGATATACCGATTGCCAACAAACACATGAAAGAATGCTCAACATCATTAATCATTAGAGAAATGCAAATCAAAACTACAATGAGATATCATCTCACACTGGTCAGAATGGCCATCATCAAAAAATCTAGAGGGCTTCCCTGGTGGCGCAGTGCTTGAGAGTCCGCCTGCCGATGCAGGAGACGCGGGTTCATGCCCTGTTTCGGGAAGATCCCACATGCCGCGGAGCGGCTGGGCCCGTGAGCCATGGCCGCTGAGCCTGCGCGTCCGGAGCCTGTGCTCCGCAAATGGGAGAGGCCACGGCAGTGAGAGGCCCGCATAACGCAAGGAAAAAAAAAAAAAATCTAGAAACAATAAATGCTGGAGAGGGTGTGGAAAAAAGGGAACACTCTTGCACTGCTGGTGGGAATGTAAATTGATACAGCCACTATGGAAAACAGTATGGAGGTTCCTTAAAAAACTACAAATAGAACTACCATACGACCCAGCAATCTCACTACTGGGCATATACCCTGAGAAAACCGTAATTCAGAAAGAGTCATGTGGGCTTCCCTGATGGAGCAGTGGTTGAGAGTCCGCCTGCCTGGGAATGTGAATTGGTTCAGCCACTATGGAGAACAGTATGGAGGTTCCTTAAAAAACTACAAATAGAACTACCATATGACCCAGCAATCCCACTACTTGGTATATACCCTGAGGAAACCAGAATTCAGAAAGAGTCATGTACCAAAATGTTCATTGCAGCTCTATTTACAATAGCCAGGACATGGAAGCAACCTAAGTGTCCATCATCAGATGAATGGATAAAGAAGATGTGGCACATATATACAATGGAGTATTACTCAGCCATAAAAAGAAACGAAACTGAATTATTTGTAGTGAGGTGGATAGACCTAGAGTCTGTCATACAGAGTGAAGTAAGTCAGAAAGAGAAAAACAAATACCGTATGCTAACACATATATATGGAATCTAAGAAAGAAAGAAAAGAAAATGTCATGAAGAACGTAGGGGCAAGACGGGAATAAAGACACAGACCTACTAGAGAATGGACTTGAGGATATGGGGAGGGGGAAGGGTAAGCTGTGACAAGGTGAGAGAGTGGCATGGACATACATACACTACCAAACGTAAGGTAGACAGCTAGTGGGAAGCAGCCGCATAGCACAGGGAGATCGGCTCGGTGCTCTGTGACCGCCTGGAGGGGTGGGATAGGGAGGGTGGGAGGGAGGGAGACGCAAGAGGGAAGAGACATGGGAATACATGTGTATGTATAACTGATTCACTGTGTTATAAAGCAGAAACTAACACACCACTGTAAAGCAATTATACTCCAATAAAGATGTTTAAAAAAAAAAAAATTCTGAGCGGGAAAGGAGCTGCTGAAGATAATTAACAGGCATAAAGAAGCACCAACCAAGGCTCCCCAAGATGAGCAAGTCCGTCCTGTGTGAACCCGGATGTGTGTCACCATCTACGCAGAATAGTAGGAGCCAACAGAGGATTCAGAGCAAGATCACAGATGCGATCAGAGCTGTGGCCAACAGGCCCTTTCGGGCATCGTGAACTTGGCCTCTCACCCGGCTGGTCTCTCCCGGCCCCCTTTCCTGCCTTCCCCTCCCACCCGATCTGCAGGATGGGGCTCCTCAGAGCTCTCTCCTGGCCTCTAACTTCATTTCTTCTACCTCTGTAATCTCCCTCAAGCCAAGATGATCCACTCGGAATGCCTCAGAAAAACGGAAACCAAAAAACCAAAAAGAACCAACCAGAACAATCAGAACAAGCACCAAAGGTAGGAATCACTTGGAGCAAATCGTTTAAGTATTACTGGCCAAAGAGGTGCAGCACACGCCATCCAGAAATGCCTACTCTCTCGGGCCTACCCT